GTGGCGTCAGGTAACGGCCCTCGCGGGCGGGGGTTTCCCCGCCCCCGGGGGGGACTTGGCAAGCCTATCTGGAGATCAGTTGTAGTTTCAGGAAATATCCACATCTCACCTAAATGTAGGTAACCTTAGGGATAACAACATTCAAGTGAAATAAGCTCTGTGAAACGTATCAAAAACATCACCTTATTGGGTGATCTTGGGCCTAGCCTGACTCATAATATACTTTAAGCATAAAATGAATTAACCTCTTGTACGGGGCCTTAGTAGGGTTGCCAGATCCAGGTTGGGTAACTCCTGGAGATTCGGGGATGGAGCCTGGGAAGAACTCTGCAGGGTCCAACGCCACAGAGTCTATCCTCCTAAACATCCCTTTTCTCCAGGGAAACTGATCTCTGTAGTCTGGAGATGAGGTGCAATTCCTGGGAATCCCCAGGTCCCGCCTGGAGGCTGGCATCCCTAAGCCTTAGCCTTCTCACCTCTTCATTCTTATTATTTGTTTCTTCACATCTATCATTTCTGCTTCTCCGTGGTCTCACAGTGCTATCAGCTAACCTGCTCCAATGTAATAGACAGCCTACGATGTAGGAATGTCACAGACCTTCTGGCGTCTTTCAACCAGGCTAAGAAGTCCTGGGAAATCTGGGACCAGGCAGGCAACTGAGCGATTAAGGAGATTGTCAAAATCTTTGAATCTGGATTTCAAGGTCCATGAATAAATTCTCTTAAATGTTTTTCATCTTCACATCTGTCCAGATGCCGTGAGCTTTTGAATAACACTCTAGCTGTTGATCAGTTGACCAGTTTTTGGATCATAACGATGGAAAAGGACAGACCGCATCCAACAGACAGAAATATATCCCAAGGCATCAAACTTCATAAAGAAATGGTTCCCATTCCTGGAGTATGTCACACAATGTGAATGCCAACAGCACAACCACATATACCTACACATGCTGCATTCCTAACATACATGCTCTGCTCAACTTCATCCACATCACATTATACTTGGTCTTCATAATGTCTGTCGTTGAGACATATGCTGTCGAAGTGCACACTTGTACTCAATGTGCCCTTAGAGCACTTTTCCTTACTTAATCACGTCAAGTTAGTAGTGAAAAAGGTTAGCTTTCTGCAATATGTCTGTTTATATTCTACTGTTTGTGTTGATAACTTGTAATGTCACACCATCAGGGGTCATTTCCTGCAGGAGCGCACAGGAGCGGAGCTCCGGCAGTAAAGATCCCAGGGAGCGGGCACATGCAACAAGCTCCACCCCCTGCTCCCAGCAGCCCTCAGTCAGAGCAAGAAGCAGCCAGGTAAGTTGCAGAGCCCCCCCCCCGGCCCCCAGCCCAAAACAGTCCAGTGGCACCTTTAAAGCCAAGGTTTATTTAGGTACAAGCTCTCCCTCCTCTGCGAGGGCAGATCTGCACATTCCCCCCCCCAATAGCTAGCAATCCAAAACAGTCCAGTGGAGCCTGAGCGGTGGGTGTTGCCTTCTGACACACTTCCGGTGATGTCAGGGGGTGTGGCATATGCAAATAAGTTATGCAAATAAGTTAAGCTAATGAGTTATGCTAATGAGCGCCTGCACCTCTTTTTCTACGAAATGACCCCTGCACACCATACGTATTCTTCATCTTAGGTGATATTCATGATATTTAGATTATGATTGTATTGTTTATGACTGTATTGTTTGAAAACCAATAAAAAGATTTTTTTTTAAAGATGGAAAAGGACAGACAGCTTATTTGTATAGGCTATGTAATGACTTTGTTCTTTCAGCCTGTGTCTGACCTTATACTTACTCCGCTTCTGTTGTTTATATACTGCACCCATTTCTTCAAGAAGAAATTCTGTCTCATGAAAGAAACAGATGTCGAACGGCTGGAAGAAACCAGTTTCCCCAGGCACCAGTTTAGCTTGGATCACTGGATTTACAGCCCAGTATCACCAACACCGATTTGACGGTTAATGCCTTAAGCACTTTGCAAATTATGACATAAATCCAGTGAAGGAGCACTCATATGACTCTGAAGACCCATACCACTTATCTTGATTTTTCATTCACGAAAATTACGCTTTGCTTAATGATGGGGACAATTCAAGGGGTTAAAATTGATTTTTAAAAGAAAGGTCTAATTGGTCGTGACTTCATTATTTGGGGAAACTGGGAAGATTTAACTACAGGATTCCACAGGGGGTTATATTTAGACAGAAATAAATAAATATGGGTTATCATCATAAATGGCTTTATATCACTAGATTTCCAAGCAAAGGAAATCTGCATAAATGCATTACTGGGCCATTACTCGAAACCATTAATAAGTCTATACTGGCACTATTGTGAAGAGGATGCTTCAAAATGGCAAGTAAACATTGATTTTCCACCCATTTCTGCTCTGCTGATAGCATCCGTGTCTTGTGAGTGATTCCAGATTTCATTTAAATAGCTATTTAAGCATTTATAGACTGCTTTTCCAAAATAAAATGTTATAGAACAAAACCCAGAAAAACCCGAATGCCTGCTGGAAAACAAGGCAGTAAAATGGGATTAGACAAATTCGTAGAGGAGAGGTCTATCAAAGGTTCCTAGCCACGGTGACTAAAAGGAGGCCCCATATTTAGAGGCAGCAAACCTCTGGATATCAATGCTAGAAGGCCATTTCAGGGTAAGACCAGGGCTTCTATACCCTGTCCATGGCAACTGGTTGGCTGCATTGTGCTATGGGATTCTGAACTAGATAGACCACTGGTCTGACCCAGCAAGGTTCTTCTTACATTCTTGCAAAGCTGTAGACCAAGGACTCACTCTAAGTGCCATCCTCTAATCCTTCAGAGTGATCTCGTATGCCTATTCCATCTAAGGACTACCTGATCTGTGTAACTGGCACAGATAGCCTCCAATTAAAAATATTTATCATGACAATGTAGCACAGAGTGTAGAATTTTGTCTCTCTGAAACACTCAGATATTACCATACGGACATGATCTCCAAGTACATGTCCTTCTGAATGCAAGTATGTATAGTAAAGGAAAAGGTTCTCCTTGCTCAAAAGCCAGTTGAATCCAACTCTAGGGGGTGGTGCTCATCTCTGTTTCCAAGCCGAAGAGCCAGCGCTGTCCGAAGATGTTTCCATGGCCATGTGCCTGGCATGACTAAATGCCGGAACGCTGTTACCTTCCCACCAAAGCGGTACCTATTTATCTACTTGCAATTTTTTGCTTTCGAACTGCCAGGTTGACAGGAGCTGGGGCCAGAGATGGGAGCTCACTCCATCACGCGGCACTAGGGTTTCGAACTGCCAAACTACAGACCTTCTGGTCTGCAGCTCAGCCTCTTAACCTCTGAGCCACCACGACCCTAATAGTAAATACAAACGACATAATCCCATTAGAAACTGTTGGCCACGCCCACTTACATCCTTGGTGGAGAACTTCGAAGCTTACAGTCATTTCAGTTGCCACAGATTACTGTCCACTGTACTTTTAAAAACAATGTTATAAGTGGCTTTTGGAGGACTTTGTCTGAAAAAGGGGGGTAGAAATATACTAAATAAATAATAATGAAATGCTGATAGTAATAAAATACTAATAATAAGTGCAGCTGTTGGGAAGAGTTCCTCTGTTTACCTTGCATACTTCTGAGCTCGGCACGGAAATTTCACTAAGCAATTACTGTACAGTATTTCGCACTTCTTAACACAATGGTTTTCCTACATGAGGTACATATGCAGCGCTTACACTTCATGCATCTACTGAAGTGAGCTCTGCTTTACAAACGCTTATACTTCAATAAACCTGCTCATAAAGTACCATAGGAAGACTAATGTTTGGTTCCGCTCAGCGAGAGAAACAAATGGGAGGCGTGTGTGGAACCGGAACACTAAAAACCACAGCGAAACACACAAGCACTTAACTTCCCACTCCGTTAACGAAGCGCTACTAATAGGGCAGAGTCTCCTTTATATAGATACACGGTAGTGTCGCTCTATCCCTTAGCATCTCTATGATGACAGCGCTCTAAGTTTTAGATCGGAAAAAGGAAGGCAAACAGAGACCGGAAGCGCCTTTAAGAGCCGAAAGCAATTTCATCTCTATGGAAACAACGGCTTTGAGCAAGGCCTTACCAATACGCGTTTGACCTCACTCTAGCGACTACGCATGAGCAGATAAACAAGCAAAGGGGATCCACCTTTCGCTGGGAGCTTGACGCATGCGCTTGTACCGCCGGTGTAAGGGAGCGGCGGCGGCGGCGCGTGCGCATTTCGTTTGACAGTGGAAGGAGTAAGAATGCGGTGCTAGATCGTGGCTGGATAAAGTTTTAGTTTTATCTGCGGCACGGAGGGTGATATGGCTAAACACGTTAACATGGAGAGTAAGTATGCCTGGAGAGAGCCTTTTGTTCCCACTTTTTGTTTTGTTTTTTTTGTTTTTACTCCGCATTACAGTTAATCTGGAGTGACTCCAGTTCTGCTGCCCCGTTCCGTTTATGTGAGATTTGGAGCGAAGGAACCCTTTTCCCGTTCCTTAACTGCTTATTGGCAAAATAGGTTGTCACTGTTTAAAGAAGAGAACAGACGGAGGAAGCTTTTTTTAAAAGACACTAATTAAGATCTTTAAATTCCTGCTTCGAGTACTGCAGAGAAGCTGAAGATCCGTGTCTGTAGCACTTGTGAATGTGACACCTCTTCAAGGCGAGGGCCAAAAGCAAGCTGGGAAGGAGAATTTGCAGAGAAACATTTGTTAAACAAAAATATTTGGGAATGAACATGTACCCCCGACCAAAAAAGGTGCCTTTTAGTGGGAAGGAGGGATTGGACACATATGCTTAATCCACGGCCTAGGATAAACTCCTCTATTCTATATTTCTAACTGCCTTTCCCTTGAGAACTAAGTTCTATTCAGGAAAAAAAGATTTTTGTTGGGTTTCTTTATGTGGCACCAAGGGCAAGGAGTTTAACCTCCTTTAATAGTATCCCTTTACCTTATTCTAGGGCCTTCGTGGCTCCGAGGTTAAGACGCTGAACTGCAGACTGGAAGGTCTGTGGTTCGGCAGTTTGAGACCCGGGTGCCGCGTGACGGAGTGAGCACCCGTCTCTGGCCCCAGCTCCTGCCAACCTAGCAGTTCGAAAGCAAGAAATTGCAAGTAGATAAAGAGCAAGATAAATCTTTTCCTTTCTCTTTTTGCCTTATTCTACATAAATGGATGACTGTCAGTCATTCCGGTGGATAAAACTAAAGCTCAGCAATGGGGGAGGTGGAAGGGCAGTGAGACAGGGGGCCTGAGAAACGGAACGGCTAGAGTGAGGGGAAACTACACCAAAGCGTGTGGGAGACAGAAGGGTACCAAAGGGGTATTTAGACTTAGCATGAAAGGTGACGTGGGGAAGGAGGAACAGGAGAACCTCCATGTTCTAGAGCAGTCTGCTTCCAAAAAACAGCTGTTCCTTTATTGCTCCTTAGGTTACAGAAGACCCACCAATGGCAATAGCTCGATCTGGTATTTTTATATAAACCTCTCCCTTTCTCTTTCAGGAGTCTTATATAATCAGCTCCCTCAGCAAACGGCAAAGCTTGTGAATATCCAGGTACTTCCCATTTATTGCTGTTACAATATATGAAAGCCTTGCAGCTGTGAGTCTGAAAGGGACAAAGTTTCAGTTGTCTGGGGAGGCTACAGGACAACTTGTGTTGTCCCCCCCCCCACTGTAGTTACGGACCTGGTTGAACACCTGAAGAACCATCATGCTTGGACCATGTTTAACGTGGTGGTTCGTAAGAGGTGTTGGTCTGGTTTCCCTCTATAGCATTTCTTAGAATGTAACTTTTTACATATAATAATTTGGCCGCTGACCTCTTGCTATGGTAGGAAGAGACTTTTTGCCAACATCTTCCGCTTCATCACTTCTTTTGCCCCCTTCCGTAGAATAGGGCTGTTAAACAACAAGGCCAGTTTTTAATAGCATGGAGGAAATTTCTTTCGACTGAAATCTGTCTTTCCCACCTCCTAAAAAAAATGGAATACCTACTTAGTCCCAAGTATTAAAAGCCAGCCTGAGTGAAAAAAGATTGACCTGAAAGCATTTCAAGGACATTCTCGCACTTGGAATGGAGTGTGTTTCTAATACAAGTTCCCCAACTGGTGATGTCTCCACTCTGGGGACCAAAGGGAAATATCAGCTAATTATTTATTTACTTATTAAATTTGATTTATTAGGCCGCCCTTCCCTGCAAGCGGGGCTCAGGGCAGCTTTCGTCAGAAAGCAAATAAAATAAATAACGAAAATTAAGAACAGCGTTAAAATACTTAAAACATCAACAACGTCCCAACATATTATCCAAGATTGCAGAAAGAATTTCAGATCCCACCAGCCCCCTGGGTGGAGGGGATGTGGAGGAATGTGGAGGCAGGGATATCAAAGTGCCAGACTGTCGCTGTCCTCAACCAAATGCCTGGCGGAACATCTCTGCCTTACATGCCCTACGGGACAATAGTAAATCCCATAGGGCACAGAGTTCCACCAGGCGGGGGCCAGCCCCGAAAAGGCCCTGGCTGGCCCTAGTTGAGGACCGCTGGGTCTCTCTCGGGCCGGGGACCACCAGAAGGTTCTTATTCCCAGAGTGTAACACTCTTCCAGGGGCCTACTGAGAGAGGCGGTCACTTGTGGTGTAGTGGTTGGAATGCTGGATTAGGATCTTGGCGATCCAGGTTCGAATCCCCACCCTGCCATGGAAGCTCACCTTGGGCCAGTCACGTTCTCTCAGCTTCATCTTACCTTCCAAGGAGGCGGTTGTGAGGCTAAAGTGGAGAAAGGGAGAATGGAGTAGCGAGCCGCTTTGGGTCCCCTTTGGAGAGAAAAGCAGGGGTCCAGCTAAAGAGATGAACGACAGCATGCCGTGGAAAGCTTTGAGTTCAAGTGTATGCTTTGTGAGAGTTAGCCAGTGGTATTGACCTTCCGGTACACCATGACAGCTTTTATGGTAGCAAAAGACTGTGTCTAAGAGATGGTAAAGACCACCTGAACATAAGAGCAGCCTGCCTCTAAGAGAACCTGGGAGAAGACCGGTGATAGCTACCTGGCATTATAGGCAGCTAATGAGTTATGCTAATGAGCTCCTGCACCACTTTTTCCACGAAATGACCCCTGGGCAGCAAAAATAAACAATCATGTGGACAGGAGTGGTTTGACATTGCTGGCAGGCTTCTAAAGGAACTGCTAATAATGTAGGCTGAGAATGAAACAGCCGGTCTCACAGAATCCTCAGAAGCATGAATAAAATAGCAGGATTCACCCCCACTGGGGAAATCAAAAGCGCAGAAACGCTGCAGGGATGTTCTTATCTAGTTGTTTTCTAACCATGGACACTTCTCAGTGTGAGCAGAATTACATGAGAGTCAGAGACAAGGTAAACTAACATGGCAGAAAGCATTCTGGGATAGCATTGGAACTTAGTCTGGCTGAAACCCCCTGAAACCAGTAGACCATATGGGCACTTTGACACACTGAATAATGCACTTTCAGTCTACTTTCAGTGTACTTTATTGATCGCTTGCAAATGGGTTTTGCCATTTTGCACAGTAAAATCCAGGTGCACAGTGCATTGGAAGTAGATGTTCTTATCTAGTCATGTTCTAACAATGGGCACTTCGCAGTGTGAGCAGAATTATACAAGAACCAGAGAAAAAAATAAACTAATGTGGCAGACAGCATTCTGTGATAGCATTTGAACTGTGTCAAGCTGAAACCCACTGAAAACAGAAGACCATATGGGCACCTTAACACACTGAATAATACACTTTCAGTCCACCCTCGATGCACTGTAGTGTTTGTAAATGGGTTTTGCCGTTTTGCTCAGTCAGTAAAATCCAGTTGCAAAGTGCATTGAAAGTAGCTTGGAAGTGCATTACTCGCCGTGTGTGATAGCACCCTTCGACTGGAGTGACAGTGCTTTGGATTACACTGTTGGGCTGTGCCCAGAGGTGACTGCTGGTGTCTCGGGCATCTGCCATTTTTAAATAACAAAGTGATAGAGTATCTGAGGACCTCTTGGGTCAGTATACCCAGCCTCTGTTTAGCAGCATTAATTCTGAGGACTCTTTTGGGTAGCCTCAAAGGCCAAAGGAGGCCGACGCGTTTGTGAAAGCGTTCCTGAAGCGCAGCCTGACCCGGAAGAGCGACATCGAAGATATCTTAACCCGGAAAGCTGTTGTTCTGGAGCACCTTCATAAGAGGAGGAGGCGGGAAAGAAAGACGAGAGGGAAAGGGTTCTCCGCTAAGCAGAGGAGGGAGAGGCGGCTCTTTGATATTAAACCAGAACACCAGAGGTAAGAAGGTTGGTTGGTTGGTTGGTTGGTTGGTTACTTGGTTTTATACCCCACCCTTCACTACCCAAAGGAGCCTCGGAGCGGCTTACAATCTCCTTCCCTTCCTCTCCCTGCAACAGACACCCTGGGGCTGGGGAGGTGGGGCTGGGAGAGAACTGTGACTGACCCAAGGTCACCCAGCTGGCTTCATGTGGAGGAGTGGGGAAGGTGCCGCTTGTCCCGCCTGGGAAGTAAACGGTGGAATGATGCGTCCTTGAGAAACATTCTCAACCACCAGGACAAGCAGAAGCCACCCGGAGCCCCAGGCAAAGATGACCTCGGGGTCAGCCCTGAAACTCAACCAGACATCCAAGAGAAACCCAATTGTGTGACTTTCTCAGCTATGTGGATTCTCCCAGAGTAACTCAGAATCTCGACCAATGTTCTCTCTGTGGAGTCTTGTGAGCAAAAATTCTACTTTATGAACTACTGGCATTAAAGTTGTGAGCGGTCAATTTGGCTACTGCATCAATTCGTTTGCTCTGGAGCCATCCTTCCTGAGCTAAAACAAAAATGTGTGAGCCGGAGGCTAAAAAACTGTGAGCTAGCTCACACTAGCTCAGCTTAGAGGGAACACTGATCTTGACTCCCTAGTCCCTGCCCCCAATCTTTGTAGCCCTGCTGGGCCCAAGTTAAGTTCAGCCTTGGGTGGCTTTCTGGAGACAAATGAAATGCACCCTTCTGGTTCAGACATCAACGTATGTCCAGATGGCAGCAGCATTGAGCGACTGAGCCACCCTAAAACTGACTGGGCACAAAAAGAACTTTGGAGATTGGGAACTTGGGAGAGTGTTGGGGCAAGTTGGTAGAACATCTGCTTGGCGTGCCGAAGGTTCCAGGTTCAGTCCTCAACATCTCCAGTTAAAAGGGTCAGGCAGGCAGTGATGGGAAATACCTTGACTTGACATCCTGGACAGCTGCTGCCAATCTAAGTAGACAGCACTGATCGGGATGGACCAAGGGTCCGATTCGGTAGAAGGCAGCTCCGTGAGTTCACCTGAGATGCTGAGCGTGGGCTTGCCAGTCCCTTGGTCAGGGCAGGGGTTCCCCCGCTTTTCAGGAACATCTAACCGGGTGTTTCTCAGCATGTTGTATAGTCAAGGAAGCTCCGGCATGAACTGCTTTCAGGTCAAGCCTGTCCAGGTGCCCTGGCAATTCACAACTTTTTGAAAGCAATATCCTGTTTAAAGAGGCTTGGCCACTAGGGGGCATCTTGTGATCGTTTTATTCCAAATGCGCCTCGTCTTAAGACGTGAAAGGGGGTCTCGAGACACACAGAGCTGGTCTGAGGGGCAGCCCTGACAGTGACCAGATTGGCTATCTATGTCCTGTGCATGACAGCATTAAAGGGAA